CTGGTACAGATCGTTAACCACGTCCAGTGAACTACCCAAAACAGTGAAAATCATATTGGCCAATAGTAAACTGATTACATATATTATGAAGGAATTCCGATTAATGCGATATTTCGCGATAAAGAAAACGATACCAGTAGTGTTGGTAAGTAGTGCCAACAGCGTGGTTGTTAAAGCCGTAACTGCTAGATAATTCCAGCCAGCATGATCATCGGGGAAGCTGGAAGAGTTTACGAAAATACTGGAATTGTTAGCCAGCATTTTCTGGATGTGAACCTGTACCGAGAATATTGTCGGTTGGCGATTCTGATATCAATACGTCAGTGAAGAAACAGAAGGACCCTTTATTAAAGGGCAATTCGAGAAGGTGCGGTACGGTAGACAATAATATTATCGCTTTAAATATGTAACAAGTTCCGCGTGACGGGATTCTTCCACGATCCGTCACGAAAATTATCAGACAGGCACCAGATTACAGGTACAGAGTGACACCGGAAAGTATTCCGCTGTGTTGTGCAGTTGTGCTGTTGTAAATTGAATAAGTTCCAGAATTATTTATTATTTGTGCATCTGCACTCACAACGACTCATTAAAGGCAAGTAAAGCGACATGTCAAAAGCAGTTTCGTGTTCTGCTCATGTGCTCAAAACAGGTTTATGTTATTGAAACGAAACACGAGCAGTCACGGGAGAACAGCAAAGTGAATTAAATGGATGGTTCTTCACGACAGTGAAAGGCTATGTATACCTATTTAAGTTAACCTAATATGCTTTATGCTATGCGGGGTTCGCCCAGAGACATTAACGGCCTATCCAATGATGCGAATGTACTCGTATCTCAGCAGATAAATATATAAGCATTCCTTATTCACCCTTCTCCAAGCTTTTGACGGACTCCTCAAGAAAGTTAAAATTCATCGCAGCGACATGAGCAGAACTTGACGTTGTGATGATTAATTCCGGTTGTGTTTAACATAACATATAAACATCTTCTGTGACAGCAGAGATAGTAACTTACATGTACAAATAAATACTTGTATCATTATTTTATGGTATATCCATGCTCTAAAATTCCTTAAAATCTCAATAATTCCCCCAACAACAAAAACAGTCGTTAATATTTACTGGGATATTTTCTGGATTTACACACAGCTCATATATGTGTACACAGCAGCTGTCACGTAAGCAGTACCTTAGGCATGCATCCGGTATTAATTCTGCAACGCTTATTTGTGCAACGAACTGTCAGGTCATGAATCTCATCCAGACAAGGGTCCACAGTTCATTTCTCTGGAATGCATTGCATATTACATGGAATCCTGGATCATCAATTATTACGTGTTTTCATCCGCAGAACGTGTGACCCCCGCTTCATCAGTCAAGTACTGTGTTCTTAATTTAATCAAATAGCGGTCATCTGGCAAGTAACACGTTTCATCGCACACACCATTTCCATCATATCACTATTTTCAATTGTGAAAATTAGATACATAATTATACTCTTTTGGGGCAAACTCACACTCGACCGCAAACCGTTACCCCATAAAAATGCACCACTCTTGGATAAGGTTGTATTTTGCTATCAGTATCCTAAAGTTATTCGATTAATGTGTACATTATTGCACAATATTGTGGAAAACAACGGTATTTTCTAGGGCTTTAAAAATTACATCTTGGCAGATTTGTTACTTGAAGGTCGACAGCAGCTTACAGTTTGGCCTAAAATTTCCCGATATTTTATTCAAATTCATTTGTTACGTGCCAGCAGACGACACTTTTCAAACGTCCGAACTGATAATTTAATGGGCTGTTTGTTTTAGAGCTAGCGCAAATACCAGCGGATCGGTCACCATTTGAAAGTTAATCAGCATCGTGACGATATTGCCAATCACTTCGTTGTATTGACTCTGAAAAGGGACAATGGCGAAGAAGACGGTGCACGGCGTCCAGAAAACCAGCAAACTAATCGTCAAAATTGTGAGGAGAACGACGCCCTTGTTGTTTTGTAGCCGCTGCTTGTGCAACGCTACACCATCTATGCAACAGAAGAAGGCTGAGCATTGCCGGAACGTTATACATATTAAATATATTAGGATACATAATAAATATATTAGGATATAAATATATTAGGATATTAGGATGTAAAATATATTAGGATACTCTATTTTTAAAACCTTCTACAAACAAACAAAACAAAGAAACAAAGAAATTACCTTTTTCAATGGTGGTTCTGGCATGCGTAGTCGTGTGCGTGTTGCTCAGCGTATCCGTTCTATGGACCTTTCTTCCCGATCGGTATTTAATGAAGAGCACGTATGGATACATAAGGACAATGACCAAAAGGACTCCGCAGATGGCAAACTGATTGGTTAGCATCCAGGCTTTCTGACCGACGGTCACGGACGAATCCAGGTGGCAAATTTTCGCCGACTGATCCGTTATAGGTCGGTAGAATGTACCATCCAGAATTAGACCTGTCATAAGAATCCAAAGAATACCCATAGATAATGACGCCAAGTGAGCTGCTTTATACATGTTAATGATATTACTTCAAGAGTGTTTGCAATTAAAAGGCTTTTTATAGGGGTTTCCCAGACCAGACCCCGTTAAACTATTCCGCACAGTATTCGGTCTCAAGATTTTACGACATAAAGAATTACCAATGTGTAAGAAATTATCGAAAGGTTTTTACCAAAACAAAGTGCACGAGAATAAATCCTGTACATACAGTAAAAACTTATTACACTAATTGATACAAAGCATTCTCCGTCTAGTGTTTTTTTCGCAAATACCCGGAAGAACCATAACATGCCCAGCCAACCATGACCCGGTCGATAACATCACCGCCACGCGGCTGCTGTGTTTTTGTCGGTAGCGTATGGGAAATGCTGCAGAAAATCCGCGATTAACGGTGATGACCAGATGCATAAACGCTTGCACAGTTGGTATGACCCACACTCCGTACAAATACACGGTACACCAATGCCAACCCAAGAACCACACCGGGAACAGGTCATTAACAACATCAAGCGAACTTCCCAGTACGGTGTAAATTAGATTCGCCGTTAACAAGCCAAGTATATAAATGATAAAGGAATTTCGATTAGTACGGTGTTGTATGGTGAAGAAAGCGATGCCGGCAACGTTAGTTATTAAAGATAATAGAAGAGTTGTCAATGCTGTAACGGCTACATAATTCCAGTCAGGATGCCGTGGACTAGGTGAAACGTTTAGTAAAACACTGGAATTGTTGGTCATCTTTTGTGTGTAAAGCACGCCACAAATATTTGGAAATTGTGAAGCCTTGTGTCAGAGAACGGAATGCCTGTTTTTGAATGAAAGCACAACATGGTGCTGTAAAGAAGAAATCCAGCAGTGGAGAACGTGCAGTATTAGCTGCGGAATTAACGCATTTAATATGCATGACATTCTGCATCAAGGAAATTTCCCCGGTTCAGTAGCTGAAAGTGGCCTTAACAAAATCGTTCGTGACGAGAAGAAGCCAATCTCTGCCGCCAGATCACGTTTAACGTCATCTTCCGGCTGTAAAATATGCTTGTATATACTGTATATCTCTGCAGGCAGGTTGTTTACGCTGTGTAGATATTCCGATTGTGTACAATATGTCGTTTCAATATTTACGTTAGATGGTAAAAATTCCACACGGGCTGTGTTATTATTTATGATTTACTCGTATTTAAGGTTGATTTTAGCAAACAATATTCGAGCAGTGCTGTTTTGTTTAAGGAGTATGTTTAAATTGAAATATTCCCCAGCAGCACTGGCCCAGCATTCACTGCCCCAGCAGCACTGGTTTGTGTCATTTGTGCACTGTTCCATTTAATAACCACACAACAACATAAACGAACGTCGTGAAAAATTCAGTAATATGAACATCGCAGCATAGCATAAAAATTGCAGCATAGCATAGCATAGCATTTGCAGGAAGGCAGAGGAGCATCGGAGTAAGCATAAAAAATTATTTTCATCAGCGATGGCCAAAGATCGTGGCCATAACAAAACTTGTTTTAAATTTAATTTAAAATAAAATCTACACTGCGCTCTAGTGTGGGATGAATGCACCGCATCATACGTAATAACGATACTGATCAACCTGTATGAGGCCAGTTTACTCGTTCAAAAGTTTTACCTCTGCTGCACTGTTATGGTAACAATTTTCGAAGTCACAAGAACGTAACATACGTGTACTAATTTTAGTAGGTACTTACCCGCCATGTCTTTAAAAATTCTGACATTTGCCATGTTTTATCGTTTACCGGTTGACAGAGTTTATAGGTTTTATCGCGTGTCATGCCATTGTCAGTGTCACTAGCAGGAACCACTACCACGTTTCAACCCCTGCCAGAAAATGACGTAGAAAAGATACGGCTTCCTTTCTGATACGTCTTTTGCTGTCCCTACGACTCCTTGGTGGATGCGCATGAGGCTTCGCTGTGAATTTTATAACCGCATTCTCTGGTCACCATCTTGCAAAAGCATTCAAGGAATGCAAAAGGGGGCAGTACAGTCTACAAGACTACAGGCCCTTAATTAAACCCCACCCTTTTCAGTTTCTTAATGCTCGCATTTATTGCAGCTTTCTTTGTCCTCCGTCAAGGTAAACCTAAACAGGATCAAAATTTGACATCAGAAACAGATGGCATAAAAAAGCGATGATAAAAAGAAACTACTTTGAAAATAAGCGCAGTTGCCAATATCTCGATTATCGCGATATGGTTATTCGCTACACAAAACATGCTGAACAAAGGCCTTGATTTCGAAGTCGTTCATGTCACCCATTTATTAACCGAGGCTCAATAATTACTGAGCATTAGCTAAACGTCAGTAACCTGAAAGGAAACGGACGTCCGGTCAATGCGCTACACAAAACAAACAATTCCAGTAATTTATATCGACCGCTTCAACGACAGCTGAACTGTTGCCTCTATATTGCTTATACACCGACCGGTGCAACGGTTTGGATTAAAATTGCAGGTGTATTATGTGCAGCAGTTTTCACATTTCGCGCGCTAAAATGACATCCTACAGTAGCGTTCGATCATAACGAATAGCCGTTTGACCGTAAACTGTAAAACAGCATCATTTGTGATCGTGGAAACGAGATAGAAAACATCCTTCACAGATTTACTGGTTTAGCGGACTAATAATGCACTAAAACTGTAAAAACTCGTTTTGTGCGTAACGGTTTGCCCGCATAATGCCCGCAAGTGCGATGTGGACACTGGAAGTGAGAGACACGACATAGAAAAACAGTTGCATCTGACCAGAAAGGCTTATTCTGCTTACCGGTTACAGTAGATAATAACCAGCTTATTTTTCTTACAGTCGGTGCTGGTGTGGACCAGCGCGGCTTTCATCACAGCCCAAGATTACTTTGGCCCAAATGGAGCATCGACGGCGAAATGCCGGTGCCTTCCTGGTGATTCTTGTTGGCCAAGTGTCGATCAGTGGAATACGCTGAATACTACTATAGGCGGTCGTCTGTTGATACCACATCCGACAGGTTAGATAACATTTTAGGTACATCAGAAAATGGACTTTAATAATATAGGCACCTATCGGTAGTTGTACGAGTAAGTATCTGCGGCATAGATGCTTATACAGCTTCGGACGAAATGGTCGCATACCCAACATCTTCACATTTAGTGTGAATGCAGCGCAGTGCACTGTACGACTGAGTTCAAAATATCCGTTTCGTACAAGTGAACTGCACCGCTTGCATACAGAATGCTGGGTATGGGGCTATGCGACCATTTAGTCCTATGTATATTGTATGTTAGGATATCAATGTTATGGTGGGCCCGGCTACAACTCCCACGACTGTCAGCAAATCCAGAAATACTACAACCGCCCGGGTTTTCTTCTCAATAAACCCGGCAGCATGCAGGCGTTTAATTGGGAAGATTTGGGCGAACAGCGGTGTGCGCTGGAAGCGTCCAATGACTGGGACGCTGTCTGTCAAGCAGGCCGTACTCCGGCGTACGGAGTGGAGGCGCACACAGTGGATGACATCCAGAAAGCACTGGCGTTTGCCAGTCAGCATAATCTGCGCATTGTGGTCAAGACGACCGGGCACGATTACTTTGGGCGTAGTACCGCGCCAGGAGCGCTGATGCTATGGTTGAGAAATTTCCAAGGTGGACTGGAGACGAAAACTGGATTTACGCCCAACGGTTGTGACGCCAGCGGTCAGTTAACGGAGCCGGTCATCACGGTAACCGGTGGAAAAACCTGGGATGATGTTTATGCAAAGGTCAGCGAACTCTTGGTTTATAAATCCATTTATTTAAAGGCAATAAAATGACCTTTTGTTTTTCAGGTTGACCAAGATTTTAACGGAAAATACTGCATCGTTGCTGGTTTCTGTTTTGACATCGCGGCAGCCGGTGGCTACACCCTGGGTGGTGGCCATAGCGTCCTCTCGCCCTCTTTCGGTTTGGCGGTGGATAATGTCTTGGAAATGACCATGGTGACCGCGAGTGGAAAGCTGGTGACCGCCAACGCCTGCCAGAACAAAGATCTCTTCTGGGCGTTATGCGGCGGAGGCGGTGGCACCTTTGGCGTCCTTACCTCCGTTACTTACAAGTTGCATTCTGTTCCTAGTGGTTTCAACGCGTACTCCGTTCAAGTTGTGGATCAGAACAAGACGGGCAATTTAAACCCAATACAGGTGGAGAGTATTATTGAAGTCTTAGCAAGGCGGACAGCGGATTTAGATAACATCGGCTGGGGCGGGTATATGCTGTTTAATCCGGCGTATGGGTTTGTTGTGATGCTGCTAGTTCCAGCTGATAAAGCCAATGCTTTAGATCAAGCGAAGGCGTTAAAGAATGAGCTTGTAGGAATGCAAGCCGCATCGGGATTCTTAGTGATGCCGTTTGCGAACCTTGGAACCTTCTCGCAGCACTACGATCACTTCGATGTGAGTACGTTTTAAATATAAATGCAAATTAGTTTACAGAAAAAAATCACAAATTACTGTATTAACGTCGATTAGCAAGTAAGCAATTATGTGTAAGAAAAATTGTTTAGGTCACCGTACAATTTTAAAATATTAGTTATACATCTTCAAATAACAATTTTAATTATAAATTAACAGGACTGGCGCTCGTGGACGGACACGATCGGAGTCTTTGACGGCTTCTACTCCGGTGTCCGCATTGCTCTAGGCACCCGCCTCATCCCGGCGGCTGCCTTAACACATTCCCGTAGCGCTGCACAAACCCTAATGGCCGGTGTACAGAAAAACGGCTTCGCCGCTGGTTTCGTCGCCACCATGGTAGCCGGCAGTGGAGTACGCAGCCGCGATCCACAGGCACTCGAGACATCCGTGACACCGGCGTGGCGCAAGGCCGCCTGGCATTGTTATCTGTTCACCGGATGGGATGCGACGACGTCCAATGCGGATATTGCGGCACGGACGGACGTGCTGAACAGCGGGGTTCAAGTGTGGCGGGAGGGGTTTCCCGACTCGGGAGTGTACTTCAACGAGGGGTTCACTGAGGAGCCCAACTGGCAGCAAGCGTTCTGGGGGAGTAATTATGAGCGGCTGCTGGGAATTAAGAAAACAGTGGATCCGAATGGAATGTTTGTATGCAGCACTTGTGTGGGCAGCGAACTGTGGGATAAGAGCGGCAACTGTCGCGTATAACGAAACAGTGTTAACAAATTGTACATTTAATTGTACTTATCGGTATTTTTTACTATAAATAAAAACCTGTAAGTACATATGGGTGGATTTTCGTTATTCATTGAATAAATTAAATTCAAAGCTTTCATTTCGCCAGTAAATTTAGCTCGATATGTCTAAGGCAGTAAACTCACGAAAATCCGTTATTCAGGCCCATCGAAGTAGATGTAGGACGTATGTTAATAGTTTTGATTCTTGGAGTCTTCTCCGGTCACCCAAGATATCCGGTCTTCTGTTTCCGGTTTCTGCACCAGTGGGCAGCCGGTGGCAGCGTGGATAAACCCTGGCATGCACCTATTATGCGCCTCTATTTTCCTCAGCCTTGGAGAACTAGCTTCGTGAGACTCTTGATCATTAATCAGTATTACAAAACGCTTTAGCACTATCGACACGGCAAAGTTTAGCCCATCAGTTAATCCCTCATGTTCGCCACCTATTATTTTTGGAAAATGGATTATTGGGCCGGCATCAAGCGCGGCGCATGGACGTTGAGAATCGATAACAAACTGCGCCGGTTTCGGTAAATTGTTTAGTTTAACAAAACGCATGATGAGACGATTATGCAGATATAAATGGCGCAGTAATGGTGATTTTCCTATGGTAGTGATCTCCACAGAGCCGAACTGATCGTGTACAATTATCCTTCGTTTTTATTAAACGTTTTACAACCTACAGAAACAGTTTTAAGACAAGCAATGGCAGTTACTTTAAATAACACGAATGTCACACTTAACGCAACGGTCAATAATAACGATACTTCGAGTTTGATACCCCAGTGGAATTATGTAGCTGTAGCGGCGCTGATTATGTTCATCCTCGCGCTCATAACGAACACCGTCGGACTATTGTTATTTGCTGTTAAATTCGGCATCGCCGCGAATTCTTTCAATATCTACATTATCAGTTTGCTAACAGCGAATATACTTTATCCGGGATTAGGCAGCGTCTTAGACGTCATTAACGACTTGTTTTCGGTGTGGTTTTTGGGTTGGTCTTGGTGCACGGTGTACCTGTACATCGGCTGGACCATACCCACCGTGCAGATCTTCATGCATCTGGTCATCACGGTTAATCGTGGATGCGCGGCGGCTTTCCCCATTCGGTACCGGCAATATCATAGTCAACGGGTGGCGGTGGCGTTGTCGGCGGGAGCATGGTTAGCTGGACACACGCTGGTTTTGCCAGGTACTACTGACCTTGGTGCAATTTTAATTACAATTCCAGCAAAGCGATATTGCTTCGATATTCCAACCAAGCGATATTCCAACCAAGCGATTTTGCTTCGATATTTTTCGCGCTAGAAAACGTTATATGATTAGGAAAAAGAAGCTGGCAGCTCCATCATCGGCATTATTACTAATGTCGGGAGATGATTCTTTTGCAACTAACGAAAGTGTTTCTAAAGCCAATAACGTCGATTTACATAAGCGCAGAATGTGGCGCTCGTATTACGTGGTACCTACCAAATCGATTCGAAACTCGAAACTGTATGGAAATATATGGTACACTGACGCAGTTTACAAAAAAACTGCTGTATTACTTACTCAAATGATAGATTCGGTTAAAGGGTGATTCACAAAGTCTATAGACCAGCACATTGCTACATTAACACTTTTAGCAGTACACTGTACATGATTATCTGTACAGTACTTACAATTTCCTGTTCTTGATTATAGTGATTTATTTGGCTTCCGGCGAGAGAATTACGTAACTGTCCCGTGATTTGTGTCATGTAAAGTATTTTTCACGTAGGGATAATTTTGGATGCCACTTATTATCGATTATCAACTGATGAAACCGTAAAAATTTGCCACCTGGATGCGTCAGTTACAATCGGGCAGAAGACCTGGATGATGATCAATTTGTTCACTGCGTGCGCCGCGCTCTTCATCATCGTCGCCATGTTTCCTTATTTTCTCTACGTTAAACACCGATCCCGAAAGAAAGTGCACCACAATCTCAGTACGATAAGCCGCATTAGCAGAACGCACGACCCTCCATCGGCATATCCAGCTGCACAAGCAACCAGACTCTCGGATAACGGTAAGTGCCTGCGTAAGCTCTTCTGTACGTAAGATCTAATAAGGCACGTGTAGTTGCAGAAACGTTCCAAGAAGGTTATAGAAAATCCAACAAGAGCATCGTTCTGCTTACGACGCTGACAACCAGTCTCTTCTTATTCTGGACACCTAGCGTGGTCTTCTTTGCACTTGTCCCGTTCCAGGACGAATACAACGATGTGGTGGGCAATGTATGCACCATACTGCTGAACTGTCAACATGTGCTGGATCCCATCTTATTCGCGTTAGCACTCAGAGAGCGTAGACACCGTCCGGCTTGCAGCTGCTTCTAAAATGTATTTTCAAGAGTAGTAATTACGTTTGACCACGGCCGTTTAAATCACTCAATATGTAAACTAATTTCCTTTTGAATTTTATTTAAATATGCACTAATGTACTCAGTTACTGACCCGATAAGCACAAAACAATGACGTGTGATTGTTAGTAAATATATAAAGCGCTAAAAAAATCTGCGTAATATTATCCGCTAAACAAGTTCTGCATGTCATATTACTCGTATTATAATGAGGGATTAAAAAGAAGCTAAAACTGGCCAGTCGTTCCGCAGTTCAAAATTTTTTAAGTAAATCAAATGCAACATCCAGTGCGTATAGAGCTAATAGAAGTACCGTAAATTGCCAGCACTTGGTTAGAACATAGAAGATAGTAACGCTTATCCGCGCAACAGACATCAAAGAAAGGCATCAATTTTTTCAAGCCCCCCAGTGTATTGGGATTCTATATACTTTACTAATACGGATGGCAAAATGAGGAGGTTTAAGGATTAATAAATGGCAAGAGGGTGCTAAATAATAAATTATAACAACTTAATATCCGCTATCTTACAGAAAAGATTCATTCACCCAACCAATGCGTATACATCGATAGCGCTGTGCAAGAAGAGCTTGCTTCCGCGCTATGTGTTAAAACTTGAAACGGAGCGGGTGTGCATTCTTCGGGCTATATATTGCTGTTTTTGCGAGTATCTTTATATAAGTACACGAGTTTCGTGATAACATTTGTCGGATTTGTAAGCGAAAAGGCTACTAACTTATAAAATTAAAACAACTGAAATGACGAATATTATGCACTACATAGTCACATATTCAGACAGCCTTCTTCTAAAGCATGGCGCTTCTCACAGTGCTTCTTTAAGCGGTACTGCCTCGCTTTTCTCTTTCCCACCAGCTGCCCAGGCAGCGACCCAGCTTCTGCTGCGGCGACCATTGGCGGCATTCACCACTTCCGCGTAGGATGGAGGAAGATCCACTTCGTCTCCTGGTACAACGCCAGTGTACGCCGGTGGATCATCACTAGCAGTGGTAGTATCTGACGACAAGAAATCGGATGGTGCCGCGGCAGCACGTGGACGAATGGCTTCCACAGTTGCGGCATGTGGTCCTTCGTTCGCACTCTGTGACCCATTCGCCCCCATGCCCATAGAGCCCATGGCAGAAACCAGCTCCAGACACAGGATGCACACTCCCAGTAGAACTTCGTTGTGGCTGGCCGAAAGCAAGGCCGTTTTCGCTGGTTCTTGTTGGATCCCGTTCGCTTCCATGATGGCTGTCACAGCCAATAGCACACCCACAATCTTGAGAATTGTGTAGACGCGAAAGAGTTTCCGTCCTCGCGTCGCACTAAACTGGTGCGTGGGGAATCGAGACGGCGGTGACGGTTCGGTAAGTCCTGCTAAGCCGAGCAGTCCGAAAACATTATAGAGGACGATCCATGCCGTAGCCACTGTTCCATAAATTACGGTTTCCCCAATGGTATCCAATTCTACAAAACGACCAAAACAGTGACTGGTCATTCCGTCGAAGGAAACTTGTTAACCGTTTTTAAGCCGACCAGACTCAATGTCGAGCTAGCGTTTAGCTAAAACACGATGGTTTTCTCATGTTTCTTAGTATATCTCCTCTGTATTCTTATGTTTTCTCAGGCTTCTTAAGTTTCCCAGGTTTTATTAGTTGGTTTAGGTGTCTTAATCAAAAGGCTGCTACTCATACCCTTCTTGCAGTAATAAAATGTCACCCTCGTGGCGGTCGACCCACCACTGCCATTTCTAGGCTGTGGATTGTCCTGCCGAGCTGGTCTCGCTCAGCATTGGGACATGGTGACAACTTGAGCTGGGTTAGCTCAAGTTGGGTCTGGGCCAGTATGGCCGAGACACGTTTAGCCTCTGCGTCCGATTTGGACGCAAGGTCTTTGTGCTTGGAGATTTCGTCCTGCATCCATCGTTCGGATGCTAGGGCGGCCTCCGATATGTCCGCCAGCTGTTTGGTCAGGTCCCGTACTGTGGTCCGAAGTTGGTCGACTTCGTCGATCTCCTCGGGTCGGGTTGCCTGGATCAGCTTTGGCGGGGTGACGCTGGCGCTGTTTATGTCCCAGGTGGGCTGATTAAGGTCCATCCTGGCTGTGGCCCTGTTTAGTTGTGCCAGGTCCACAATTGGCTCTTGGTCCGGTTTGGACGGGCCAGACGCGCCGATGACGTCATTGGTCGGCGATGGCGTTGTATGGGTTGAGCCATCGACTTCAAACATGATTGGCGATTGACTCACGGGCTGTTGGCCCTGGTCATGTGCCTTTGGACCAGCCTTTTTGGCTTGACCCTTTGCCTTGCGTCCACCTTTGGCCACCGTTGGTGCCTCAGGTTGGATCTGGTCCGAGCCCGATAGGGTTGGACTTGTTATCAGACCCTGGACGTCAAGGTTGGACCGGGCCAAGTTGTTTGGCCCTGGTCCATCGGTGCGTGTCTTGTCCTCACTTGTGGCCGCCGTTGGCGCCTCAAGTTGGACTTGGCCCGGGCCAGATATGGTCGGTTGTTGTGCCAAGTCCCGAGGGACACTGTTGGCCTGGGCCGTCCTATCGGCGCCAGGTTGGCTGTCCTGAGGCTGGTTGGCCTCGGACAACTCGTCGGATGCCTCCTGGAATGTGTCGTCCGGGTGGCGTCCAGACTTTCATCACTGGTTTCCAGGTCAGCCGGCAGGATTTGTTTGTCCCGCCTGGCCCTGGCCTCGACCGAACTCGTAGAGCCGGCCGAGTTTGGCTCGTCTGGGTCAGAACTGCCTTGTTTGGCGTTACGGAACCCGTAGGGTCCCGTTGGTTCACGCGTGGCGTAGTTCTTCCCGAGCACCTTCTTATATTGGTTTGGCTGGCGCCCGTCCATTGGACTGAGCAATCTCCGTTGGAGTTGCTCATGGCTGGTGTAAGGTACCACCTTGGCCAAGGCGCTGTGAGTTTGGCCCATGGTATTGGGACTTAGAAAGTTTCTTTGGTCTTTGGTCCGGACCGGAACGTTGGGTTGGATCGCTGGTCGGTGCTGGTCAGGTACGCTAGAGCTCAGGTTTAGCGTTAGCTTCCTATGGCCCTAGTTTACTTTACTGACCAGTGTGACGTCAGTTACGAAATGGTCTTGCAAAAAGCTCTACGTCACGAGTAGCGTGCCGTGAGCAAAAATTGCAAAAAAGTATGAGTCACTATGACTGTTATAACACGGGGAAGTTTCCCACGCGTTCTGATTGGTCTGAAATTTATGGAAAATCACCACGCTGACGTCACGCGACTTTTTCGCGAAAATTCGCGACGCCACAACAGGTCTTACCGAGTTTTTCCTCGTCCAAACTGCTGCTCCGTCGCTCCCCTTCACCCTCTTCTACCGTGAGGGCCGCAGCGCACCCGATAGGGCGTAATGGTGTGTCAGGACCGTACCGAACGCAGTTTTTGCGCCGGGAGCCAAAGCTGCGGGAGGCCTACTTATAAGCCTGACCCGTATCAACGCAACCCTGTAGGGTGGTTAATTGGTAAACTGGATCGTACCCAACTCAGTTTTTGAGCGGGGAGCCAAAGCTGCAGGGGACCTACTTATAGGCACCGACCCGTATGAATAATCCGTCGCGCTGCAGACTTCCAATGAAGCCTGTATGATGCAGGAGATGATGGTCGCGGGATTGCTGGCCTACTTATAGGCGATCAGCGTAGTTCGACCGAGTGATGCCTTCACTGGGAATCAGAGGTCTCGCAGGAAGGAAAACCGAGCGATACTGCTACCATGTCAGATATGACACAGAAGCAGATGGAAAATGGGGCAAATATCGCCTTTATTGGTAACAATAAAGCAACCACAAACAAACACAGAAAACCAATGCGGTATCACTGTGGAAAAAGTAGCTGCGAGCGCGCAAGTCAGTATCGTGATAATGATGCAGGGTGCTGCAGGTATGCAACAGCTGATGCCGTAAAGCATGGAATCGCTCGTAAGCGCTGGGCTACGCCCCCAAGAGTGCAGAAATACGCTGATTGGTCAGCGTAGACAAAGTATACGCTGAGTGAGCAGCGTAATAGCGCGGCACGAATGGAGTAGCCATGTGCGGGCGGGCGACAGAGCAAAGCCACAAGAGGTGTCTACCGCCTCGAGTGTGCGGTCTCTGACACAGCGCTTTCTTTTGCTTTCGTATTGCTTTTATGTTTTTTCGTTTTTGTATTTTCCTTGGTTTTCGTATTTCGCTTGGTTTTCCTGTGATTCTTTATTATGGAAAATGTCTGCGACCAACTGCCCTGCGACTAGTTGTCCTCGATGAAGTGCCACGGCGCCCGGCAATTTTGATAGCACGGAAAAATGCAGCTAGCGTGTACTGAGGGCTTTGTTGGCGCTTTGAACGATGGTCCAGACACTGCAATTATCGCAGATATTACGTATAACAAGTTCCCTTTAATGTATTTGCATAATGTTTTACTTTTCATACATACACATAATTATATTATTATTTTATTTTTTTACTTCCTGTAATTATTTTATTGACCGTATTACCCAGGCACTACCTATTCTAAATGCCGTGACGTATGGCACGACGCACCGTAGTATGCAGTTTTGACGCAACCTCTGAACGTGTACAGTACATACCGAATAGATTATTTAGAATTGCCACCGGCAGTGCTAATAATCCTAACGCCAATTTTGAGAAAGCCTGGCAGACCGTCCAATCATAATTGTGTTTAAAAGGGCAGATCTCTGCTGCTGGATCCCTTGTGCGTTTGTCTGAAGGATCCAGCAGTAGGTCGGTGACGGCGGTCGGCATTCGACCATTCCTCAGCGCAATGACAGCGACGACTATGAATGCGCCGTCCATAATGAGAAACGCAGATGACACAGCCGTTAAGAGCGTCATGGCTACGGGTCCTTTCTGTAGAACGGTTTGCAGAATAACACCCAGTGCGAACAGCACGTTGATGATCATACAAGTCAAGTACAGTCTTCCGATCTTGATCCCCGGTGCTTGATGGTGGCGAATCG